TACGCACAGCCATCCCTCCGTATTACGCACAGCCATCCCTCCGTATTACGCACAGCCATCCCTCCGTATTACGCACAGCCATCCCTCCGTATTACGCACAGCCATCCCTCCGTATTACGCACAGCCATCCCTCCGTATTACGCACAGCCATCCCTCCGTATTACGCACAGCCATCCCTCCTCAGACACGCATTAGCCATCCCTCTCCGTGCCATTTACTACAGCCATCCCTCCTCAGACATTTAATAGCCATCCCTCCAGACACGCACAGCCATCCCTCCGATACGTACACAGCCATCCCTCCGTGACATTTACATTGCAGCCATCCCTCCTCAGACACGTACAGCCATCCCTCCTCAGAGACAGCCATCATCCCTCCAGACATGACAGTCCCTCCTATTCACGCACAGCCATCCTCCGTGACACGCGCACAGCCATCCTCCAGATACGCATTAGCCATCCTCCTCAGACACGCACAGCCATCCCTCCTCGACACAAGCACAGCCATCCCTCTCCAGACACGCACAGCCATCCTCCGTAGCCACGCACAGCCATCCCTCTCCGTGACACAGCCATCCCCTCCAGATAATGCCACAGCCATCCCTCCCAGATACGACAGCCATCCCTCCCGTGACACGCACACAGCCATCCCTCTCCAGACACGCATTGTGCCATCCCTCCGTATTACGCACAGCCATCTCTCCATATTACACACAGGCCACAGCCATCTCTCCATATTACACACAGGCCACAGCCATCTCTCCATATTACACACAGGCCACAGCCATCTCTCCATATTACACTGTTAAACCGGGCCCCTCTATCAGGTATCGCTCCATGTTTGACTGTGCTGAACTGGTTCTGCCGTCCCTTCCTATTAGACAGTTTAGTAGGTTTTATATTATAGAGCAGATTCCGTATATTTCACGTGTTGCTCAGCCTGGGATAACTGTGTCCATATATAGAGAGAAAAGTCAGGAGAGGACGAGGGGAGGGAGGTGGCCTCCCCATAATAACAGCTCACAGTCATTTCTATCCCTGAATCATCGCTCACACTGTTTACAGACTGCCCATACTCTCGCACTGTCCTTATGTTCACATAGTATAAGGATACCACACACACACACAACATACAGCCAACACACACATTACGGTACGCGCACACACTACAAATTACACAGTCAACACACATTACACACAGTGTGCACAAACCACCCACGTTACACACAGTTGGTATACACTACACATTATACAGTCAACACATCTTACAGATTGCACAAAGTCAGCACACACATTACACACAGTCAACACACACACACACACACACTACATATGAACAGCACATACCAAAAACACACACATTATATATAATTAGCACACAATACATGCAGACAACACACACGGCCACCGCATACACTATAGGGGAGGACAGAAGGAGAAACACAGTGGCAAAATGGAGGCAAAAATTGCAAATTGTGTCTAAAGCAAGATAGATTATTTACCAGATAAACTGTAACTTTGCCAAAGTCCAGGTCTAAGCAGACTCCCCAAACTTTCTAATTTTAAATTGTTTTAAGTCAGGACAGAAAGATTGAAATTCACTACACAGGCCCCGCTACAGGCATTCACTACACATGCCCCGCTATAGGCATTCACTACACATGCCCCGCTATAGGCATTCACTACACATGCCCCGCTATAGGCATTCAATACACATGCCCCGCTATAGGCATTCAATACACAGGCCCCGCTATAGGCATTCACTACACAGGCCCCGCTACAGGCATTCACTACACAGGCCCCGCTACAGGCATTCACTACACATGCCCCGCTATAGGCATTCACTACACATGCCCCGCTATAGGCATTCACTACACATGCCCCGCTATAGGCATTCACTACACATGCCCCGCTATAGGCATTCACTACACATGCCCCGCTATAGGCATTCACTACACATGCCCGCTATAGGCATTCACTACACATGCCCCGCTATAGGCATTCACTACACATGCCCCGCTATAGGCATTCACTACACATGCCCCGCTATAGGCATTCACTACACATGCCCCGCTATAGGCATTCACTACACATGCCCCGCTATAGGCATTCACTACACATGCCCCGCTATAGGCATTCACTACACATGCCCCGCTATAGGCATTCACTACACATGCCCCGCTATAGGCATTCACTACACAGGCCCCGCTATAGGCATTCACTACACAGGCCCCGCTATAGGCATTCACTACACAGGCCCCGCTATAGGCATTCACTACACAGGCCCCGCTATAGGCATTCACTACACAGGCCCCGCTATAGGCATTCACTACACAGGCCCCGCTATAGGCATTCACTACACAGGCCCCGCTATAGGCATTTACTACACAGGCCCCACTATAGGCATTCACTACACAGGCCTCGCTATAGGCATTCACTACACAGGCCTCGCTATAGGCATTCACTACACAGGCCACGC